TTATCATTAGATACTTGTATTTGTCCCAGGCTGATCCATGCTCATAGTGGCTCTATCTATGATGTGGCTACTGTCTAGAACACAACAGACAGGTGGCCTTGAGCTTAGGGCCACATGGGAAGAGGCGTATTGATGCTTTCAACAGCTGTACCTGTAAGAGCATGAAGGGCCAACCCAGGGAACCACTGCAAAAATACTCAGTAAATACATAATAAAAGACATTGTCTATGATTTATGTTGTATATATAATTATGTCTGGAATTTATATTGTATGCAGTTACACAATACTAATGATGTATGATACACATTAATTTATTTATTTACATGTTAATTAAATATGCAAAATAAAATAATACAAAATCAGCTATAAGAAACAATACAAGACTTGAGAGCCAAGGAAATCATTTCAATAATTTCACACCAAGACTTGAACTCTGAGGTGTTATTTAACCTTTTTCTTCCTGTGGCTCCACGCCTTGTCTCTAAAATCCCAGGACATCTGAATCGGAGCTTGCCCAACAGGGATATCTTTTTAGGTGTTACTTTTCTCATTCCACAGTTTATATGTGACCACAGCAACAGGTGTGTGTGGAAAGGAAACGTGATCCAAAAGGGCAAAGGCCACTTCCTCCTTCTGTCGTATGCTCCAGCTTGAGTGGCAGTGTGATTACAGACCCACGGCATGTGCACTTGCGCAGCCCACTCCAGCTGTCCCGAAACTTGGCCACACGTAGCTCTTTGGCAGGTGTTTGGCTCAGTGTTTCTGCCAAGGCCAGCCTAGATGAGCTGTGAGCAGAAGAATCTAAGGACAACACTCCTACAGCACACTGGGCAGTATTTTAGCACCTACTACTAGAGGCTGGGTAAATTGTGGATGGCAGGGCCTTTCCCTATTTCCTAGGCTAGAGAGGGAAATAAATATCTAACAATCTACAAACAAATGTAAATTATAAGAAGTGAACTATTGGGGCCGGCAGTATGGCGCAGTGGGTTAATGCCCTGGCCTGAGGCGCCGGCATCCCATATGGGTGCCGGTTCGAGACCCGGCTGCTCCAATTCCAATCCAGCTCTCTGCTATGGCTGGGAAAGCAGAACAAGATGGCCCCAGTCCTTGGGCCCCTGCACCTGTGTGGGAGACCTGGAGGAAGCTCCTGACTCCTGGCTTCGGATCAGCGCAGCTCCAGCTGTTGCAGCTATCTGGGGAGTGAACCATCAGATAGAAGACCTCTCTCTCTCTCTCTCCCTCTCTCTCTCTATGCCTCTCCTCTCTCTGTGTAACTCTGACTTTCAAATAAATAAATAAATCTTAAAAAAAAAAAAAAGAACTACAAAAGGGCTAAAAGAACAGCAGGAGGAACGTAATCTCAACTAGAAAGGTCTGGGAGGACTTTTCTAGAAAACCGATGCTGAATCTGAGTCCTAAAAGACAGAAGCAACGAGGCATGGGAAATGAGGAAGGGGATTCCAGGCAGGGAGAATGGTCTCCATAAAGCACCTGGGGTGGGATGGAGGATGGATCTTTAAATAAAGGGGAAGAAGCCCATGGTGGGAGTGGAGTATGAGGGGTTAGTGCCTGATCAGTTAGGAATTTATACCTATTTTAAAGTGGTAGGTCACAAACCAAAGTTTATGATCTAGTCTCTTTTTAAAAATCACTCTGGAGGGCCAGAAAGTTAAACTGCCACTGGACACTAGCATACCAGATTGGAGCGCTGGTTTGAGTCCCACCTGTTCTGCTTCCAATCCAGCTCCCTGCTAATGCACCTGGGAAAGCAACAGAAGATGGCCTAAGTATCTGGGCCCCTGCCACCCACATGGGAGACCCAGATGGAGTTCCAGGATCCTGACTTCGGCCTGGTCCAGCCCTGGCTGCTGCAAGCAGTTGGGGAATAAACTAGTGAGTGGAAGGTCTCTTTCTCTTCCTGCCCATCCCTGTTTCTTTGTCACTCTACCTTTATATAAAAAAAAAAAAAAAAAACCTTCTTTTTTTTTTTTTGTTCTGTAAGTCACCCTTGCTGCTGTCAAGAAAATTGATTATAGGGAAGCAAGTAGAAAGGGGACAAAAAAAGAGATTTTGATAATTTACAAGAGAACATTGTTGGTAAAGATGCAAAGATGCGAAGTAATTGAGAAATATATTGGTAATGAATTCAGTGAGGGGATGATGGAGAAAGAAGTGTCAACTTCCAGGTCTGTGTCTGAATGTGTTGATAGGTAGAGATGTGAATTCCTGGGTGGTTACACTGGAAGACGATGAGCCATGGATGGAATGCAACAGAGGCAGAAAGGATGGGGGCAGACAGGGCAGCACTGGGGTCTTTAACAGCTCTAACAGGAGCAAATGTGATGGAGCACCGAGGTCTAAGCGAACTGTAATGGGAAGCATGGTTAACTGGAAAAATGAAGAGGATATACAGAGGACCCAGAAAATTGCTTGAAAAGATTAATTATTGATGAAGATAGAAATTAGTAGCTTATTTTTAAATAATAATTTTAAAAAATGATGTTGACATGCTAACAGTAAAAGCCCAGGGAGAAGCGGGACATTGGTAGTGGGGTAGGAGGAGGGTGAGCAGAAAGACTGAAGACCTCAAGAAGAGCGGGGCGACATGCAGAGCACATGGATAGGGACTGGTCTTTGATACAAGGAGGGAACCTTGAAAATTCTAATTTCTCAGAAGCACAGATGGTGAGATCACCTCTGGCCCACAGGGAGGAAAGGAGGCCAGAGGTCTGAACAGAGGGATGATATGAAACAGTTGTGCCATAAAGTGGTAGACACACTGGGGTGGGAGTTTGACTTAGCAACTAAGAAGCTGGTGGGTGTGCCCATGTCCCATGGCAGAGTGCCTGTGTTTGACTCCAGGCTCCAGCTCCTGACTCCAGCTTCCTGCTAATGCGGACCCTGGGAGATAGTGGTAAGGGCTCAAAGAGCTGGGTTCCTGCCACCTGTGTGGGAGACCTAGATTGAGTTCACGGCTCCTGCCCCTTTGAGGCATTTAGGGAATGAACTTTTGGATGGGAGTTTATTGTTTTTTTTTTTTTTCTCTCTCTCTCTCTCAAATAAAAAGAATGGTTTTAAATGGTAGGAACACAATAATGTCATCAAGCAGTGTAGAGTCTCTGAGTTTTGCTGTTAAAAATATGTAGTAGCGTCATTGGGTCTACTGTTTGCACTTCCCTCATCCTTTTCTGCAGTACTTCTCCCAGAGCCAGTTTCTGCCATTTTTCACAGCATGTGATGACAGACAATAATCCCACCTGCCAAGGCCAACTAATCCCCAAACAGCTGCAAGAGCTGGTTCGATACTTCAAGCCACCGAAACAACAACAGGAAGGTTGAAGGGGCCTCTCTGCTCACTTCTGTCCATGTTCCTGGAATTCCACCTCTACCTTAGATCTGGAGACTATCACCCAGCTTTCCCTGGGAAGTGAGATGCAGCACTCATTGGCTTAACTTGCTTTACTTTTGTGTAGGGTCTGATGCTAATGACTGATAGACAAAGAGGATTTATAAGCCACACCATATGTGGACTACACAAAGATAAACAGCCACATGGATGAAGGAAACTGAAGGGCTCACAGGGAACCTGACAACCCATTTCTAAGCCCTACAAGTTTTCCAATATGACTTAAAGAGTAACAAGATAACTATGATATCACTTAGTTTTACACTTAATAGTAAAACACTACCAAGTACCAAAAAAAAGACATCTAATGCTTCCAGCAAAAGCTTCTTGCTATATCAGTGCAGAATCTTTGTAAGGCATAAGCCATTAAACTCCATCCTCCTGCACTGCAGACTTAGACAGTCAATCCTTGGACTTATTGTTGAGATTCTAAGGAAAAATATAGCCACTACTCAAATAGATTTTTACCATTTCAAAGTCTAAAGGTGGAATGAGCACATATGCAATTTAATATGTAAAGCTGTGCATCCTAATTTTGACATGCAGGCAGCCAAGAAATCAACGTGTAGCTTTTACTCTGACTTCCATTTCTGACAACATCATTTTGGGCTCCTTCTCAGGCACCAGGGTCAAATGCTCTTATTTATCCGTCTCAAATAAACAAGAGCCTAAAAAGGAAGTCTCTTTCAGCAGGAATTCTTTCCACATATGACCACTAGAGCTTACTCAAACTGAAAAATTGTTTTTCTCAGCATAGTGGGGAATGTGATGGGCAGGGAAGAATGTGTTAAAGCCCGTTCATTTTTTGCTTTTCAAATGGGAATTTTATTTTTACTTTTAGGCTTATTTCAGCTGCAACTAACTCGGAATGGAAGAGGAATGTACAGTATTTTCCAGACAGGGGGAAAAAAATCTCATAAACAGACAAACCAAAAACCCAACTACCATCCTTAATTCTAGAATTTGTCTTACATTCCTTAGTGGCGATCAGCTGACATTCAGGTTGTTGTCTGAAATGTATAAGCAGGATCTTTCCCAAGGGAAGTGTCCTGTGGCTCATGGACAGACTTCACTTGGCACTGTGTGAGGACCTCTGGAAACCTCAATGCATTTGTCCAAGAGCAGTGCACTTGCTTTGAGGACAACAACAAGGCAGACATGTGAGATGAACAGTCCCCATTCATCTTTTTAACAGCAAAATGGAAAGAAATGAGGCAATTCTACTTGCATATACTTTAGCGCACCCTACAAAGCACCAGTGATCAAGAAATCAAGTTCAGTGGAATCAGAAGAGCACAAAGCTGACAGGGGGTGGGGGTGGGAGTGTGCAGTGGAGAGCAACTCACTCTTCTCAAGGCGGATAACCTGCCATGGGTATCAGCCCTACATTCACCCAGGCTCTGCTCTCAGCTCCAGTTGCTCACTACCTGACAGCTCCTAGCCTGGGATAATGTTATGTTCCCAGGGCCACTGTGTCCAGGAACATGCTACACAAATCCAAAACCATGATCAAGCTATATAACATTTAATTTCCATCAATTAGAACCACTGCTTTGCCCATAAAAATTGCATTCAAACATTTTCTTTTACCTTGGTCTTTTCACCAACAATGTTCTTTTCCAGTTCGGCGATCTTCCGGTTTAGATGATCCAAAATCTCCTTCTCCTTCATAAGTTCAGTTGTTTCAGATTTCTGTTCTCCATCCAAAAGAGCACATTCCATATCCAACTAAGGACACAAAACAAAACTCAGAAGGGATTCACCCTCAGGGACTTCTCAGCTGCCCACAGCAGAGGGACATTTTTAACAGCTACAAATTTCAAGAAGCATCACGGTTATCAGTCATTCCGTGGGGTCTAAAGAACATTCCAGAGAGCCCACAGGAAACTCAGGATTCCTGTGCTAGAAAATATTTGTAAAGAAAACTATGTATCTTATCACATAACATTTCTATTACCAACCCTCTACTGCTTACTTCTGAAAAACAGTTTGCGTATTTGCTTAGATTCGGGCTCAAGTACAGACCACGCTGGAGCAGTCACGTCTTTGTCCCCAGAGCACTGAAGTGAAAGTGACCCCAGCCCAGCACAGGAGCTCTGCATTCCTAGCAACGCCAGCAGGAGGGGCTTCCAGGGTGCACAGATGACAGGTGAACAGTCCACTTACTACTTATGGGGCTGTCGGCACCACTGGTGAAAACAGGCATGCAGATTCCCCCTGGGAAGAATTAGGCACTTCCTCTCACTCCACAGAGGTAACATGAAAATGGCCATGGACTTCTATTGGTTGTAGAATGTGAATATATCTGCTCTCCAGTTTGCAAGCCTCCAGAAAGCTGGGTCTGTTTGATTCATGTGTGAACCCTGCACTCCCCAGCAGTACCGACATGACCTTGAATTTACAGAAAGCATGCTCAAAAAATGTTGGTTAGATTTGAACGCAAGCACCTAAATACTGGGTATCTCAGTTTACAGAAAGCATATGCAGTTATGACAAAGTTAGCTACACATAAAGTACATTAAAGATGCCTTCAAATGTTTACTCATCTGTTTCAAAAACAACAGAAAGAAAACAGGAATGCAAAAACAAGGGCATGTTTACCCCACACATGGTAGGTACCCTTGAACAAACATTAAATCAAGTTGACTTCTAAGTATTTGGCTTCCAAGCCCTGTGCCCAAATAAGCAGTAATATTTTTACGTTACAGGAAAGAAGGGGAAAAAAGGAACTCAAGGTTTATACCTCTCTGGAAGATTCATCCATCTGGTCATTTATATCTTTGATTTTTTGTTCAAGCTCCTCCAGGTTGTTCAGAATTACTATCCGGGCATCTTCCATGGCGGCCAGCTCCTGAGCCCTCTGCTCTTCACTTACACCCTCTGGGGTCTGCAATTCATCAACACAGAAACAGATATTCACACTTCAGTTCTAGACTACCCCAGCTTAAAGCTGCAGGCCTGGTATTTCCAGACCCATGCAGATTCTAAAAGCATTCTTGTGACTGTTTAGTTGGAAGTCTGACACATTTTTCCCATAGAAACGGTGCCACACTCAGTGGTTATGCTATTGGGTACATTCAAACACACCAACTTCAATTCACAAATGCATACCCTTACAGAGCTAAAATAACTCTGGGCCCACATTGTGGTGCAGTGAATTAAAGCCCCATTTGAGACACTGGCATCGGCATCCCATATGGGAATGCCAGTTCGAGGTGTGGCTGTTCTGATTCTGATCCAGCTCCCTGATAACGCACTAAGGAAGGCAGCAGAAGATGGCGCAAGCGCTTGGGCCCCCACTATCCAGATGGGAGACATGGCTGGAGTTCCAGACTCCAAGCTTCTGCCTGGCCCAGACCTGGTTGTTCAGCCATAAAGGGAGTAAACGAGTGAATGGAAGATCTCTCTCCACACACCACGCTGCTCCCCTGGTCACTCGGCCTTTCAAATAAATTAATAAATCTCTTAAAAAAAAAAAAAGCTAGAATAACTAGAAGGTCATACAAATGAGGAAGCTGTGGTATGTGGAGATTGAAGTGATTTCTCCAAAGTTTTGAAGTTCAGCACAGCAGAGAGCTAGAATCATCTTCCACAGAGATCTCCCGGGCTCACAGCTACTTTCATTACAGGCTTCGTGTTCTTCCACATCCAAGCGGGTACCTCTCCTACATAGCCTCTTAAATCTCCAGACTACCAGGGTTATCTGCATATGAGCATGCATGCTTATTGACTTCCTTCCAACACAAAGTGGGATATCGAGGGTACATAATTTTGGCATCCCCAACTGATTTGAAACTATACCTTCAATGTTACCTGATGCTTTGTTTTTTGTCTTAGTACACTATTTACTGCCTTTGTTCCATTGACCTTCCTATATAAAATACTAACCAGGCCAAATTGGCTTTTGTGACCTAAAACAGGACACTGGCCACCTTTCATAATATTGTTTCATAGAAATGTTGAATTTCTTGGCAAGGAATGAGAAAGTCAAGAAACAAAGTGAGAGTACTTGTTTACATCCTTGAACAGAGCTAGTGACAAATTCCCAGGAAAGAAAGGAGTATTGTAGTTCACACAGATAAGAAGAAGAGAATGCAGTGAACTAAAAATACCCTCTGTTTTCTAGAAGTTCAAATTTTGGGTTATCTTGGGTGTTACCTGGTAGAGGCCAATCTTTCTGTAAGTCAAGGGTTGCCAATATTGGTATATCGCTTGTAAAGGTTTTATGCTTCTAAAAAAAAAAAACTAATTCTGCATCGGTAAGTAGATAACTACATAATTTGTGTTGGAAGTTGGAAACAGCAGTCCAGTTAATTATTGAGGGTTACTCACTAATTATTGGAAACATATTCAAATTAATTAAACCATAAAAATAACTAGACCTAAATTCACCAGCTTCATTTAATCTGTTGAACAATTCTGGTGCTAACTTTCAGAAGATATCCATCAGGTCCTGCTCTGTACTCCTTGCCCACGGTCATAGTCTGTTTTCTTTACCCAACTTTGCAGCTCCTTATGGAGGTGAAACAATTGAGAATTTAATAATGTCAGGTTGGTTAGAACAGATATGCAGGCTTCCCAGCTTTGACATTTATCTTTTCAATTTCCATCTTAAATCCAATGTCTTATCAACTAATAAAACAACTGATGACCTTTTTGTCACAGACAATGAAGCTCACTATCCCGATACTTCAGTGCCTGTTTTAGGCTATGAGGCGTGCCTGTAGCAGTAATGGCATTCCAAAATCACAGACCAGTAATCCCAGCAGGAAAGCCTCCTCAAGGCCAGTATCCTGTTGGGTCAACATCACATATCATGTTTCTACTTCCAACACAGATTAAAAATATCTCTCTCACGGGTGGAAGTAAAGCATTAAGAAAAAACAAAACAACTGGACAATCTGCAAAATCATGAACTTCTTAAGTAACTGCTGGGGTGAGGACTGTTAATAGTCAAAGGGATAAGCATCTGCATAACTCAAAGTTTTTAGGGAATTAATCACAAATAAGTATACTTAATAACAGACAACTCACAAGGCTGTTTATGGCAATAAATGCTATCTAGGAAATGCCTATGGAGGTTTGTTTTCTGTTGCTTGTAAGAAGCAAAATCTCAAGAGACATCTTAAAAGTAAATTCATTGTGATAGAATGGGTGAAAATACAGTAATCTTGTTTACTTGTTTAAGTGCCCATAGAAATGCATTTATTTAAATATAGACAACTGTATTCATATAGTCATTTTTAAGACAAAGAATATTTAACTACACTGCACTCTTGAATTATAATGCTTTGAAACAATATTTTATTTCTAAACAATACAACAAAATAAAATGAAAAAACATAGGCAATAATGACCAGATGGCAATATTTATCAAAGCTGCACAGAAGGGACACCACTGCCCATTATTTAGAATATGTATGTAATTTTGTTTATTAATCAAATAAAGAATTTTTTGTTGTTGTTGTTGTTTTGCCAGGCAGAGTGGACAGTGAGAGAGAGAGACAGAGAGAAAGGTCTTCCTTTGCCGTTGGTTCACCCTCCAATGGCCGCTGCGGCCAGCGCACCACGCAGATTCAAAGGCAGGAGCCAGGTGCTTCTCCTGGTCTCCCATGGGGTGCAGGGCCCAAGCACTTGGGCCATCCTCCACTGCACTCCCGGGCCACAGCAGAGAGATGGCCTGGAAGAGGGGCAACCGGGACAGAATATGGCGCCCCGACTGGGACTAGAACCTGGTGTGCCGGCGCCGCAGGCGGAGGATTAGCCTATTGAGCCATGGCGCTGGCCAAATAAAGAAAATCAATAGAAACACAAGGTTAGCAGCCAGTGAACAGCTTTAGTTTTATGGTGACAAGGAGGAAGTTGAAATTTTAAACAGAAGTCCTTCATTTTAATTTTTTTGGGATTTTTCTATTTTACAGTAGTGGATAGGAATCCATGCCATAGTAGTCTATTTATTAAACACATTACACATGTATGTGCATCCTCAAATCATCCATCTTTGAGGTAACTTGATCCATTTAGAGAAAGGGGAGAAAGGGTCCACTCCGTTTATGCAGATCTCCTCTGAGAACCCACTTAAAATAAAGGAGGGAGGGAGGAAGTGTGAGGGAGGGCTTTCTACCGTGGATAGGACAATTACTCAAAAAGGAAAAGGGTGAGTTACTCTCCAGTAAGCTTTTACACTAGGCACCCCTAGATAGGTGCACAAAAGCCAATTAAAATCATCATATTTCCAAAATCATCAGCATATTTAAATGTTAGGTTTAGTAAGTTTCAGACTAATAAATCTCCAGTTTCCTAGATATGATTAGAAGCTTTGCTAGTTAAATCAACTTAGAGTGTTTTCACATTCTTGTTCTCCATTTACCCCCAAATCTACTAAAAACAGACTTCCTACTTTGTGAAGCAAATAATCCAGGGCCCAGATTACTGGAAGAGGAAGAACATCCAAAATAAATGGCCCAGAGGTTATTTCTAAGGGTCTTGTATTTCCTTTCTCGAGGCAATATATGCCTGTCTTTGAAAAGTAATAAATGAAAAACTCATTCCTTGGACCTATCGACCTGTTGACTGAGCTGTATCTAAGCTGCAGGTGGTAACCCAGGGTAGCCTGGATGATTCCTGTCTCTGAAGGATCATGGTCTGACATCTCCTGTGAGCGTGGATGCTGCTCGAAGCTTCAGAGGTCTCTTCTTCCGTGGGAGCATACTTAAGCAATTAAAAACATCTACCAGGATCTGCTCCCTCGTGCACCTACAGTTTTCTTGTCAACGCTCTTGACAAGAGGAAACCTGTCTTCCAAAAGACAGTCTTTACAAAAGCACACAACTCAAGATTTTTGACCCAAACCTGGCAGAGCTCCATAAAGAAAGAATGTGAAAAGATTTGAGATGAAAAAGAAATTAAGAATTTCTCAGGATGCTCAACGGCAGCTGGCAACAACTCAAATTTTCAAATGAAAGGTCACTGACTTGATTATTCTTCAGTAATTCTAGCTTCTACCAGTTTCAATTTTCTCATAATGCAGAATTTCTCTCCACTGAGAAGGAGTAAGGTGGACATGGCCACCAGAGGGAAGATGGGATGGGTGTTCATCATGTACTTGGCAGTCTAAGTCCTAATGGGATAACTCATAGGTAGATATGGACTTCTGACTGGGAACATTCAGTGACTAGTCTTGCTACAGCCAAACAAATACAAATTTTAAAAACCACTAACACACAAATTCTCATCACAACAGGATATCTGTCTTCGAGAATCTGTATGTGTCATTCTCCTCTAACAAACATTAACTGATGTATCTTATTTTTTGGTTCTGTGGCTTCAATTGCCAAGACTCTGAATCAAGCTTAAATTACTTAAATGAATTACTGATTGCTAGTTACTCTTAAATAAATAAATCTACCCATGTTTTTCCTCTTATTCACTATTTTTGATGTTCAAATTTTAGTCTAAAATTTTATGTCTTTTGCAGTAAGCTCCTTCAAATCCTTTTCACAAAAGAGAGGAGAGATTTCTTTTTATTCTCCATAAACAAAATTCTTAAGTTGTGTGAAAAAAAGAGAATCAAAAATTTTTCCTTTTGAGTTTCATTTAAGAAATCTTCAAATTTGGGAGATATTTTAAACCAATATACAACCAAAACACTGAGAAATAGTAGTGACTGCAAATAAATCTGTATGTTCAAAAACATAAATAAAGTCAATGGGAAAACCACTAATGATAAAATACTAATTTGCTTACCACAAACAGCTCTTAGTACTCAATAAAAAAAAGACAAAATAAGAAAACTTCAAAAAATATATACAAATGTCCTATTAGTGCAAGTGTCACCAGAAGACACTGATTTTTGAGGGTATAATTTGGAAATATCAATTAATATTTATATTTAATTTATAATTAATATTAATATAGTAATGTACAAATTTTTGAACTTAGCAATTCTACTTTTAGTAAGTGATCCTACAGGTACATTTGCACAAATGCACAAAAATGGATAGGATAGAATGTTGGCTGTGTGTGGATTTTATTAACAAAAAACTGGAAATAACTTACATGATACTTGCAAACAACAGAACACTAATCCACCATTAACAAGAATAAGGGAGAACTGGGTAAAACAATATGCAGATTCCCCATGACACTTAGGGAGGGGAAAAAAGGCAGGGCACCCTGTGTGTACACGTGGGTGTATGTAGCCATTTATGACAGAGAATCCGATGAAGGCCAGTTAAGGCACTTGTAACTATCTCTGCCCCTCAGGTGTACTACTGGGAGAGGCACAGAGAAGAGAAACTGTCCACTCTTCTGTGCTGCTGCATTTTTCACACTACAAATATATTGCTTGACAGTAACACCTTAATTTTCTATATTTGTTTATCTAATTACCTCTTATACTGAAGCTCCACTGAAACATTCTGGAAAATTCGTATGATAAAATCTCCAATCTCCAGGCCAAAGCATATGCATAGTCCTGGGCCAGAAATCCTATCTCTTAGCTCAGCCAGCATCACCCTTGGTGGGATCTTAGACACCAAGTGGCTGGGCTAACATTACCTTGGGTAGGATGCTTAGGTAAGAGGACTCGCTGGAAGCTTTCAGAAAGGCAGAGGGTGGTGGTGGGGGCGTCCTGGTGAGGTCACGGAGCAGTTCCTCGTTCCTGATGCTCCTGGGAGCAAGGAAGCTGCCACCGCTCTGACCCAGGCTCCCGAAGCCAGCCAAGTCCGCATCGTGGAGCGAGCCCTTCCGGTGGCACCTGTATCTGGAATCAGCGCTCGCCAGGGCTTCCTCAAACACGGATTCCTCATCGGAGAGCTGCAGCTTGTCAAGCTCCTTGTTGATTTTCTGCACATCCGCCACGGTGGTGCCACTGGACAAGCGACTGTCGGGCTTTGTGTACTCAGCACAGAGGCTGAGGATCGTCTCCAGACGCTGTCTCTCCTAGAGGCAGAGAGGAGGGGAGGGTCAGAGGGTGTGCCAACGGAGACAGCGCCGAAGAAAACGATCGAGGAGGCTGGCGATCTCACTCCGTGCACGGACCCAGGCACAAAGTGGCTGCTGACTTTTCCTCATCTTTAATGGATGCATTTGATGAAGTATGGGTTGACATACTATGCCCTTTCCCTGCAAACCCAGGGCTGACCCTAGCACCCATCAGCACTAGCAAGCCTTTTCTTCAAGCCTGTCTCCAAACGCTATCATCATTTTTAAAGATTTCCATTTCGTTCCCACCCTCTGTCCCACCCTCTATAGTACATCACCTCCAACAATATCTGGCGCTTTCATTACTGTAGACAGAACATTCACCAAGGCAATTCTCTACCTTCCTATAGAAATACTATCGTGCTGTTAGGCACACAAAGAGGGCAAAGGCACTTCAAGAATCTTTTCATTTAAAAGGCATATCTATGTTATTGTTTTCTTGAAATGCTTTGAAATTTTCCAAACTTTTTAATATCTGGTGACCACAGAAACATGTTTTCCACTAATTGCTCATGTGAATAATTAAAATTATAAAAACCTTGTACAGTTGCACTAAAATAAAGACCATCTTGCACCAACTCCAGATAGAACAACATCATTGCAGCTCAAATTGTGACCCATGAACTCTTTCATTCATTTAATTGGAAAATAAAATGCTAGTACATTTGTCAAAAAAAAAAAAAAGACCAAGATATAGGTCATGGAAATCTGTAATAGTATCACTAATTGACTTCTCAGCAGGCTTCCCATGCACAACAGGTAGGCAGTTATGATGTTTAAGTAAATTAATGCTGTATTGTGAGCAACAGGGTATAATTTACAAAATGCTTTCCAGAAACTTAGACAGCATTGTGTAGGGAGTGAAAGCTTAACATCTTTATCCTTCACATTAGTTCCGATGCTGAGGTGAAAAAGAATACAAAAGCCACACGCTGTGATTCCGTTTACCACACTGAAAAGAGCCTTCCAAAGCCGTCCACTGAAAACCATTTTCCAAACTGCTGATCAGTAACAATATAGAAAAATATGAAGTGGCACCGCGCTGCTGTTTTCATGCTGATGGCATCTAATTTATGAAGAGAAAACTCAGGAGACAGTTAGCTTTTTATTAATTAAAAGTAGTAATAAGCAGAAAAGTCAAACAGGAACAACCCAACATAACTCTCCGGTTTCTATTAAACTCATTAATTGACAAGATACAAAATCATATAAAATGTATCCGACTGATATCTGACCTCTAAAGTACTCCTACCCTCCCCCCAAAAGCAAGAGGTTGATCAAATTACTATTAAACTAGTTCATTTCTATATGCTCCCACCTCCCTTTCACTGCCTGGACTTCTGGACTCCAGGTGCAGCTCGGTCCTCATGGCCTCCTTCCACAGAAGACACAGCTGCACAAGCTCACCCCAGGCTCTTCTGTACCCTGTCCATCCAGGAGCCCTGCTGCCTATTTATCTGTTCAGCTGCCCCCAGCTGCCAAGCCCTACCCACCTCAGCTTATGGGGGAGGGAGTAAGGGGCACGCAGCATTCACTGACTCATCTTAAACTTCTCTAACAATCTAGAAGTCTACATGGGAATATGCAAAAGCAACCTGCAGGGGTATAAAAGAGAGAGCCTGGGACAAGACACTAGATCTTATCCTTCTTACTATCATCTGTATTAGAAGCTAATCTCCAAAGAAAAGTTCTCTTTATGCCATTTGGGTAATTACTGAGGATTCTAAACTTACTAATCTTTGCAGATCACGATAAGCATATATTACCCTTGGCATTAATTACGTTTGAAATTATCTGGAAGTTGTCAATTTCCATCTCTCAGGGATCTAATGAACACTGCAGTCTTCAAAAGTATTAAAGGTACTTCTGGAATACATAGCAAAATTCCTCCCACATGCTCTTCCCAAAATAGTTTCTTCTGCTGCCAGTGCTATTGCTTAATTCCAGGGGGAATAAATGATCTAGTCTTAAGATGAATGCTATTTCAGACAGTGAAACACAGTATTCAAAGGCTTGTGCACAGGAAGTTTGGTCTACTGGCATGCGTTTTTCTCTATTCTTATCACCCCATTCACAGCCAATCCATCTAGGCTTGAATCACACACACACACACAGAGCAATGCTGCCCACGAGTCTAAGAGAAATCCAGGCTGCATGGAGACACACTGGCCCCATAAAAGCTTCACCAAAGAAAAATAAACTGATGTCAAGAAGAAGTGCGTCAGAACAGTCTGGGAGACATTTCAGAAAGCCCCAAAGAAGCCTTTTAAGGAAAACCCTGGAAAGAAAGTACCCTTAACAACAATTCTTCCTTCAAGCCTCTTCACTCTGGTGTCTTGATATTTCCCATTTGTTACACCCCGTACCACCCAAGACCTGGGTGATCGTTCCAGACAAAAAAACTGTTCTCGTATCAAACAGTGTGCTATTAAGGATTACGCTGGAACCTAAGTGCAACCAGGCTTGGTCCCGGGCCACTAAAATGTGAGAATGTACAGCCCTCTACCTAGGGGTCAGTTTTCTTTGAAGTGTCGCCTGGCACTTGCTAAGTCAGTAAACTGCCCCCTTTGAGCTGTCCAAATCCTACCCACTTTCAAACCAGCAATCCAACCAGCAATCTTACCCCTCATCTTTTTTTTTTTTTTTTTTTTTTTTTGACAAATAGAGTTAGACAGTGAGAGAGAAAGACAGAGAGAAAGGTGTTCCTTCCATTGGTTCACCCCCAAATGGCCGCCATGGCCGGAGCCACGAGATCCGATGCCAGGAGGCAGGTGCTTTTCCTGGTCTCCCACGCGGGTGCAGGCACCCAAGCACTTGGGCCATCCTCCACTGCCCTCCTGGGCCACAACAGAGAGCTGGACTGGAAAAGGAACAGCTGGGACTAGAACCCAGCGCTCACATGGGAGGCCAGCACCGCAGGTGGAGGATTAACCAAGTGAGCCATGGCGCCGGCTCCTGCCACTCATTCTCTTGAAAAGCCGACAGTACAGATCCCAAATACCAAATGGCCTAAAATACAGGTGCTAAAGACTTAGAAAGTAGGTCACGTTAAATCAAATTATTTTAAATACATTTTATTTTTTTTCTTCTCTCCCATTCCCCCTTTCCTTTATCTCTATATTCCACACATATCAAAGAAAGCTTTGACAGGGACATTAGTCTTATAAAATATCCCTGAAGAAAATGACATGTACATTTTTTTTTCTCCTCAGAGGTTCCAAAAAGAAAAAAGCTGTGGGCTGGGGGTATGTTTCTGGACCTCAGGGCTTGCTTTCTTTGGAGGAATGTGTCTGAGACAATGCCCCTTTGCATCTTCAAAGGCCTCAGCAGGCAATACCATCCATCCTCTAAAGCCATCCAGGGCCCTTGGAACCAACACCAGTCAGTCTAAGCCATAGGACTGTGAATATCTGGCAAAAAAAGGTAACTCTGCAGAAGGCCAGCTGCTGACATTTAAACACACGTGAAATCTTTGCCCGAAATCCTTGTATGAGAATTAAATATGTGGAGTCAGTTATTACACAGCACAAAAGGGTTATACTTTAATGTGAGACATGGTTTGGGTAAAGGGAGGCTTTTTTTTTCTTTTTTAAAATAAACTATGGTAACATGAATATGGCTTTGCTTTTTCATTTCTGTTAACCCTAGGGATTCAATGTCTCCACGATCTTCAGCTCAACAGAGATTAAAAGTTATTCACTTCTTAAGGATGTGCTGGGAATACAAAGTTGATAAAAGCCATTCTATCATCCAGTCTTTAACAGGAAGCACAAATGGATGATTTGTTACAGAAAACAGTGTTAGGAGTTTTATAGAAAAACCTATGGATTTACATATGGGGAACAAATACTCAGAAATAGCAGAAAAACAAATGTGAATGGAGACTTCAAAGATAAATAAGAGCCTACCTGGTCTGTTGGGGCAGTGGGATACATTTCTGGACAGAAATCACAGACGCAGAGGCACAGAGTCACAGAATGTGATGACAGACTCAGATCGGGCCGGTGCCGCGGCTCACTAAGCTAATCTTCCACCTACGGCACCCGCACACCAGGTTCTAGTCCCGGTTGGGGTGCCGGGTTCTGTCCCGGTTGCTCCTCTTCCAGTCCACCTCTCTGCTGTGGCCCAGGAAGGCAGTGGAGGAAGGCCCAAGTGCTTGGGCCCTGCACCCGCATGGGAGACCAGGAGGAAGCACCTGGCTCCTGGCTTCGGATTGGTGCAGCGTGCCGGCCGTAGCGGCCATTTGGGGGGTGAACCAATGGAAGGAAGACCTTTCTCTCTGTCTTCTCTCTCTCTCACTAACACTGCCTGTCAAAAAAAAAAAAAAAAGACAGACTCAGATCAGCGCTAGTATGTGGCTAGAGAGAAGCAGTCTTTGTGATGAAGAAGGATGAATTTCCTGCATAGAAACAAGCCAACAGTCTTCCTTCCTATATTAGGATTCAAGGGATCCCAGTGGTCTCAAAAAACTTTTAGAGTAAATCCACAGAATGCAGCTGCTACAGTCAGGAAAACTGGCCTAAAAGTGGGGGTTGGGGATAGCACTGTGGCGCAGGAGGTTAAGTCCCTGACTGTGTTGCTGGCACCCCTTATGAGTGCCTGTTCCAGTCCTGGCCATTCCACTTCTGATCTAGCTCCCTGCTAATGCACCTGGAAAATCAACAAAAGATGGCCCAAGCACTAGGGCCTCTGCCGCCCAGGTGGGAGACCTGGATGCAGTTCCTGGTTCCCGGCTTCAATGTAGTCCAACCCAAGCCATTGTGGCCATTTGGGGAGTGAACCAGCAGATGGAAGATCTGTCTCTGACTCTTTCTCCCCCTGTCTCTGTAATTCTGCCTTTCAAATAAAGTACAAATACATTTTTTAAAATAAGAATAAATAAATAAAAGTGGGGGGCACAATGAGAAGTAGGGCTCACAGCAAGTCAGCAGAATTCCCAAGACTGCTTGAATAAATCC